ATAGCGGTAAGTGTGGACTTATAACGCGAGAAACCGGGTTTCGATACCCGTGGTGGGCTGAGCACAGATAGCCTTTTGTGTAGCTATGTGCTTAACCACAAACAAACAAACAGTATATTGTAAAGGCATTCCAAATGAGGACTGTTTACAGTTGCAATGCTAGTTATCTAATGTGCCTAATATGTAGCTAATGGCCCGGCATAGCCAGGTGGTTAGGGCGCTCGACTCGCAATCTGCGGGTCGCGGGTTCGAATCCCCGTCACACCAAACATGCTCGCCCTTTCAGCCGTGGGGGCGCTATAATGTGACGCTCAATCCCACTATTCGTTGATAAAAGAGTAGCCCAAGAGTTGGCGGTGGGTGCGGATGACTAGCTGCCTTCCCTCTAGTCTTACACTGCCAAATTAGGGACGGCTAGCGCAGATAGCCCTCGTGTAGCTTTGCGCGAAATTCCAAAACAAACAAACATGCATTAAAAAATTCCTATCAAATTCATTCCCGTAATTAAAATGAATTATAGTCGCATAAATAAGGGATGATGAAAATGTGCGTTGACTAGACGATTGTGTATGTGCCATTTAAATACTTTAGTTTTAATAGAGGAATATCTCGTTATTTTAATATCATTATAATATTGCAGAAAATATATAAAATTCAGCTCTGTACACGATTCGTTAGTAGTTAGTAAATATATATACACACACACACATTAGCGGATTAATCTTCTAGCATTTTTGATATTAAATAGTGGAATGTGACAACGCCTCTTCCTCAATTAGTGGTTGCCAGAAACAGTGACAGATAGGCAATCACAAAAGACTGGGTGGTGATCATCTCATTAGGCTTTTGAAGTTACTGTACAGCAACGCATCTTTGCGCTAAGATGAGACTTAAACATTTCAAGTCGTATCTTAATTATCTTATTGCCATTTGCTTTCATTCTCCTAACATCCTGTAGGGGCTGTTACGTAGCCCACTGCTTTCTGAAGTAATGATATATGATTTATAATTGAAGTTACGATGTTTCAGAGGGACATTAGGTTCCAAAAAGTTCAATTTATAAGAAGTACTGCCAAATGAAACACGTTTGTAGATACAGGATGGCATTCCATAAGACGACCGCTAGGAAACACCAGTTTACATTACGTAAGACGACCGCTAGGGGACACCAGTTTACATTCCATAAGACGACCGCTAGGGGACACCAGTTTACATTCCATAAGACGACCGCTAGGGAACACCAGTTTACATTCCGTAAAACGACCGCCAGGGGACACCAGTTTACATTCCATAAGACGACCGCTAGGGGACACCAGTTTACATTCCATAAGACGACCGCTAGGAAACACTAGTTTAGAGCTATGTCAACCCTTATTATACTAGCAATGATGATGATAGAGAATGCTGTCAAAGGGACGTTTATATGGATTTACTGTGGTAGGCGGATAAAGATACACTGTATTTAACTATTTGTGTATTATCATCTATGCGCACGTGCGTCTTATGTTCTATAATATATTTTCAAAGATAACATGGCATCGCGCAATTTGATATTTCAGGAAACTGAATTTGAGTTTTCAACCCGATCGATACCTTAGATGCACGTGAGCTAAATAGAAAGATCAGAGATCCCTTGGATTCAAGATCAACTAAATAGAAAGATCAGAGATCCCTTGGATTCAAGATCAACCGTCTCTAATTTTGAACAACTGAGAAAAGAAAAGACAACCAGGCAGCAGCACCCGCTGAATATGCGAAGCATGCACAACAGCATCACGTCTCGAGCCCCGGACCTTTAGATCCGTAGTGCGCCATCACTTGGTCACGCCCAACCCAATTTTCCAGCAAAACAGTGCTGCGTTTTGATCAGCCAAAGATATGCTCTTCATCAGATTAATCAAGTTATCTTTAGCTACTTTGTGACACCATTATACAGCGGCTACGTATAAAACAAAAACGTTTCGAATTAGTAGTTGGAAAAATGGTGGCCTGGCATAGCCTGGTGGTTAGGGTGCTCGCTCGACTCCCCGTCACAACGAACATGCTCCACCTTTCAGCAGTGGAGGCGTTATACTGTGACGGTCAATTTAGAAGTGATAGAGTAGAGGGAAGGCAGCTAGTTAACATCACACACTGTCAACTCTAGGACCCCTCTTTTACCAACTAAAAGTGGGATTTACCATCACATTACCACGACTGAAAGGGCGAGCATGTTCGGTGATGGGATTCGAACTCGCGGCTCGCAGATTGTGAGTATAGCGCCCTAACCCACATGTCTCCATTTTCTACGTACAATACAAAGGAAATTTCGTCTGTTATTATTGACATTAACGTTACTGTCAGTTATAGGACTAAAAGATTAGAGATTTTATGAATGCCAGCAGCAACACTATACTGAAGTATAGTACTACGCCTCCCGCTTGGTAACAGATACGGATTTTACGAAGCAGGGAAAACTTAATGGCAGATAAGTTTCAATAAGCCTTACCTTGAATTTCCATAAAATAAGAATTGGCCTCAGTATTAATATGGTCTGTTGGTGTCTTTTGGCCGCTTTAGCTGAACTTTTAAGCGTTTCATTCCAATCTGGAATCCATTCATGGCCTGGATCGCGGTTTGGGCGCTTGTAGGGTTATCAAAGCTTACAAAGCCTATAAATAAATAATAAAAGTTTGTTTCGTTTGCTTCGATTATTTGTATGTATTATAAGGAACTAAAAGGAACAGAACGTTGCACAAAACTTGAAAAATTGAAGAAATTATCCACATAGCACTATTATTCTAAACTAATAACATAGTTTCTTGATAAGGACTCATGCAGATGGAAATCTCTGAAACTTCTTACAATTATGACTGAAAAATAATTCTCTTTGTTAAAAAAAAAAATCTAAAGGCAAAGCGTCCGGTGAAAAAACAAAACACGTTACTCTCTGTATTACGAAAAAAAATATATATATAAAACACTCTTTAATCACAATTTATCAGTGCCCTAAAAACGCTGTAAATACGAATACATCTGTTCTATTATATATTAATTACCAATAAGTAATAGCTTTATTTTTGTCTTTAGACAAGTCTGGGACGTATTTAACATTTTGTTCACGTATATAACAAAAAATCCATTATTATTATTTAAGTTCGAATGTGTAAAACAATTTCAGATGTTTATTAGAAGAAGAAGAAGAAAAAAAACTTTTCAAATACAAAAATGATTGATTGAGAAGAGCGACAAATTCTGTCTTTGAAACAAACCCACCAAAGCACTTGCTTTGATTGGTCGCACGATCAATGAAAACTTTAGCACTAATGACATTTCCGAAAGGCAAGAACATCTGCATGAGTTCAGCATCGCCGAATTCCTGTGGCAAATGGTAGATAAACAAGTTACATCCTTCTGGCCCTGAGGAAGAATAACAAATACACGATTACGTAATCTAGTATTGGTTATTGGATTTGAAAGCAAGAAAACCAACATCAATTCGCATGCTCTTTCCAGCAGAAATATTGAAAAAATAGTGATACTAAAAAATCAAATTATATACATAACTTTGATAAGTCTGTATTCGAATAATCGAAATCCCAGGAAAGACATATTATATATATATATATCCATGGATTGCATTTGATCTCATAGAATTGTGTACAAAGTTTGATTGCAGAACAAAACGCACATTGCTTATCTTCAATCAATTTTACATGAAAGAAAAACTGATTAAAATTTCAATACGAAATCTAAAGTAATTTATAAAAACGATTGTGATATATGTCTCCTCTGAAACGTTTCTATCGACCACGTGTTTTCAAGTATCCAAATGCAATTTACATGTTAATTACAACTGAGCTATACGTGTATGTGTGTGTGTGTTTGAAACATCTCTGTGTGTTATATACATTCCGCAGATTAAAAAGATAAAAGCCGGAACCAATAACTTACAGAACTGTTTATCATATATGTACTATTTCACAATAACTTACAGAACTGTTTATCATATATGTACTATTTCACAATAACTTACAGAACTGTTTATCATATATGTACTGTTTCATAATAACTTACAGAACTGTTTA